GACTTCAAATTGAAAAGTTTTGAATACCAAGTTTGTTCAACTCATCAAGATCTACAATTGTTGTTTTGGTCAACTTTCCATTTGAGATAGTTTGGATGGTTCAAATTTGTGATTTTTAAATTTTGAATAAATATCCGGATAATATCCGTTTTTAAATATCCGGATATATCCGATACTTATCCGGATTATCCGATATCCGCCGGATATCGATGATATTACATCCGTATTTGATATCCGCCTAAGATATCCGTTTTAGTATCCGTATCCGGAAAAAAAACGGATATCCGAGTAACTATCCAGATAAGTGTTCATATTTGTTCGGTCGAACGGACGGTCGAATAAATATCCGTACCATTTTCATCCATAATCCCAGCACACGCACCGAATCCATCCCTGTTACTTTGGAGAGAGGTAGCTGAGTAAGATGCTAAGTTCCATATACATTACAATCATTTATTGGAAAAAAGTGAGAAACATTGATACAATATGTTAAACCTAAGTTAAACTATGGAAGCTGCGCCTGCCGAAGAGAGACGCCAATCTTGTTGATTCCTGGGCTGGTGCTTTTGCAAGTGTAATGTAATTTAATATCTGAGTGTGTTTGCCAAAAGGTGCGAAACAATGTAATCAACAAACCCTTTGCCTAAGGGCACCGATCAAGCAATAATATATTCAGGTGGGGATCCTCCCCCCACTTGACCTTCAAAAAAAATATGTTAACCTTACCCATCAATATTAAAATCCATATTCGTGGAAGAATTGACGTCGAGAGCCATCTTCCCTCCTTGCTTCGACACATGGCCACATTCCAATTACCCTTTGTGCATCGAGTACCCGCTGGCAGTGGTGGGTCTAGAAAAATAAGTCAAGAGGGGCTTATCTTATATTTTTTCATCGTTAGCCTCTCCTTCCAAGTTTGAATAGGTATAAATAGGTAGGAGGGGCTCCTTGGTCCGAGCAGTGGTAGCCGGGGCTTGAGCCCATCCCGCCCCAATGCTAGATCCGCCCTTGCCTGCTAGGCGTTTTGGTGGATTTACCTCTTACATGCTTAGGGCGTATACCGTATCACCTGTTGCTATCGGCCTTTTCAGCGTGCTATTCAGCCACGCGTGACGGGGCACGTCCCTTCCTAGTAGGTCGTATAGGCGGTGTCCTTTTGCACATGGACGGTTTTAATGTTTTGATTTTGAAATGTAAAGTTATCGAAGATGATGACTCATGAAAGATTGAGTTTACACCTCATGTTATGCATTTTGCTTTATGTTTAAACCAAAATAGATAGTTGAATCCAACGAGTGCAGTGGAAAGAATAACCATCTGGTCAAATAGGTTGCATGCTCTAGGAAACCTCTGTGCGTTGGTGCGAGCTCGCCGGGCAAGGAGGCCGGCCCCCACAGTGACGCCAGCTTGAACGCGGGGGTAAAGATGGCAACGGGGCCCCGATACCCGATATCCGACGGGTATTTGATCCATTAGGGGACGGGGATGGGATCATATCTTTATCAGCGGGCATCTAAATGGGCAAGAATCCATACCCGATGGGTATAGCGGGTACGGGAATGTTCCATGTTTACCCGTCCCCGTTACCTGTTGGGGAACCCGACTATTTGAGCTGTCATGCGAGTATTAGGCCCAAAGAAGCTTAACATAGGTATTTTGCCCCAAATCTGAACAATCATATATATAGTTTGTGTGTTCTAGGAACCCTAGTTTAATTTTTTCTCACCATCTCCGCCAGCAGCACAAGCACGCCTACCTCACGAGCACTCGTGCCCCTCGCTTCCTCAGTTTGGTCATTCTGCCACCTTTGCTTGTCCTCCTTGCAACCTCGCTCCTTCTCCTCGGCATCTCCGAGACTTCGACACTTATACCTGGGTGAAGAAGAAACGTCTCCGATTGCAAAGCTGCGACCCCAAGTGTCCTTGTTTATCGGGTATGCAGTACCCGTCGGGTATCTGTTACCCGACCAATGCTCGACGGGTACGGGGATGGGCAAGAATCTATACCCGAGACAGTTAATGGGGACGGGGACGGGATAAATTCTTTGTAGCGGGGAAGAGAACGTTCTGGCGATACCCGACGGGTATATCCCCGTTGCCATCCTTACGCGGGGGGCAGGGTGGCCGACGCACCGCCACCCGCGTCGGTCTGGGAGGCCACGCCACCACCCCAGAGAAGAGAGAAGCGCCGAAGGAATGGAGCAAGAAAGGGGTGGGAAGGTCGAGGAGGACCGAGTCTACCTCCTCTGGCCATCACCGACAACGGAGGATGGTCGCCGGCGGTCAGGTTGCGAGCGGCGCGGCTCCTAGGCCACGCGAGCTCTGTCCCGCGGGGGAGGGGACCGAGCGTCGGGAGGAGGGAGATGGAAACAGAAGGGATAAAAATAGCGAACTGGTTTGTGCTTCAGTTGTGTAATGGAGGGCAGTGGTGGGTAATTATCCCTCAACTCCACGAGAAAGATACATAAGGTTGGTTTCTGGACTACCCCTTGAGGAGCTAAAAAAACGTGGAGTTTGCCTCAACTCCACCTTTTTCTTGGAGCGGAGTTTCTTGAGTTGGACCTGTTTGGCTTGGTAGTTTGGGAGCGGAGCTGTGAAAGTTAGAGGAGAGCAATCCCAAACAACATGGCTACCGCCCGGACGTCCGGACGCTAGCCCCCGTATGGACGCCCACGCTTGTCCCGACTGCTGCGCCTGTCCCGCCTGTCACGCATGCTACTAAGCCTGTCCCGCCTACCCCGCATGTACGTTCGTCCCCGCATGCAACTATTGCACTGCACATCCGCCCCTCTATGTAACTGTTGCGCTTGCACATCCACCCCCGCATGCTGGTCCACCTACAATGCAGTTGTGTGCCTCGTTCCAGCTAATGCCCGCCTCGTGCCTGCTGATGCGCATGCAGGTGGGGACCACCCACGCCTGCTTCACTCGCCTCACCCGTGGGGACCGTCTTTAGCATGCACTCACTTCCTGCGCCTGCTAATGTTGCAACATGAAGCACTTCTGCAACACACGTCTGAAGCAGGTGAAACATTTGCAACAACGCTTGCAATAACATATGTGTATAGCAACTGCAACATATGCAACATCCAGATAAAATACTTGCAACATACGTCTGAACACAAACAAAACATTTTGAATAGACGCTTGCAACATATGTATATCGCTACTGAAATATATGCAACATCCAAATAAAACACTTGCAACATACGTCTAAAACAGATGAAATATTTGAAAACATACACTTGCAACATACTTACATGCATGTATAGCCATTGCAACATATGCAACATCCAAATGAAACACATACAATATCCAAATGAAATACATGTATCATCAAGATGAAACATACATTTAAACACATGAAAAATATGGAGCTCAATGCCACTGAGTATGCGGGCCCCTCACTCCTCTTTGTCGGTTCTTCTCTCTCTGGTCACAGCGCATGCAAAGGCCCCCACACGTTGCATTAGGGATGAAAACGGATCGGATACGGACGGATATCACTAATATTACATTTGTTTTCATATTTCTGTCCGGATTCGGATTCGAATACGGATAGTGTCAACCATGCCGGATAGGATACGATTGGATATCGACATCACAAATATGCGATTTGAGTATTCGGATACGGATACGGTATCGGATGTTGAATATCCGGACTCGGATACGAACGGATTTAAACCCCTCTAAACGGATTCGATCTCGAATACGGTCGAAAAATATCCGTACCATTTTCATCCCTACGTTGCATGAACCCCACCCCAAACGAGTAACCGCAAAAGCTCCCATGTGCTGCCCCGAACAACTGGCCGCATGAGCTCCCATGCGCTGCCCCGCGCCGCATGCACCCCACGCGCGAACAAGTGGCCGCACACGTTCCCATGCGCTGCCTGCAGAAAGGACCAGTGCGGGCCCTTTCTACCTGTGACGACGCGCACTGTTTTTTTTCTTGACCGTCACACGCACGCGGTGTTGGTCCGTCCGGACGCACTGAACCAAAACATTACCGAATCCTGAGGCGGAGCGGTTAGAAACAAAATAAAGGGGAATGGAGAAATAATATCTTACACTAACGCATAACACTTATATAAAAAATATCAGAAATGCTATACAACACACATGTGTTTTAGTGGAAAAAAAAACACATGGATTTTCCCCCTCTCTTTTCACAGGTGTTGCACACGGCGCCGCTGTCGGCCACCGGCCGCTTCCTATTCTGGATCACTGCGGCAGCACCGCTTCCTGTTTCGGCAGCACCGCTTCATGATCGGAGCGGGAGCACTGTGGCAGTAAAAAATTGATTTGTCGTGTTCCAGATCGGAGCGGGAGCACCGCTTCCTGTTCCTGTTTTAGTGGAAAAAAACCAATTTGTCATCTTGTCCTTGTATAGAAAAAAATTGTTTCTTGTGATCTGTGATCTTTTGATTTATGATTGTCTAGAGGTAGAAGAATGCTGGAGGTAGAAGAAGGTTGAAGGTAGAAGGAGGATGGAGGCTGTTGGATTTTAATTCTACGGTGAAAAAAATTCATGTGTTAAAACTACATAAAACACACGGTTGTTGAGTAGACAGACTCAAAAATATAGCGCAGTGTATCTAGTGGTGCAAATTGCACGTGCTAACTTGCTACTAGTAATAATATGATATAATATGATAAAAATGTAGGAGTGTCACGGTATCCGTCTTTACTTACAAACAAAAAATAAAATAAAAGTGTTGCCTCGGTATCATATCAAATTTGTACTCCGATTAATTCATTTTCCTTTGAGCCCCCAAGCAACCTATCGGTTTTGGCATTACATCCAAGATCACCTCGAAGCACAACCACCACCTGCACTGCACGAGATATACAAATACAATCATACAATCCAAGAAGGTGCCCGAACTCTCAAGCAAGCAAAAATCAAAGCATTCTTCAGGCTTACTGAACCATGCCATTCTGCTCGCATGGCATCTGGATATACGTGCTGTACATGTGGCGCGCGTCTTTCCCCCATTATCACTCATCTGAAACATTGGCCGCCGCCGCTGACGACGATCCACCCCATTTCTGTATCCTGGAGTGCGCCTCGCTGGCCTCCTTGTCCCAGTTGGTGCGCAGCGTGATGGCGACCAGGATGAGCGTCTGCAGGCCGACCCCCGTGAGCATGCCGCCCCACATCCCCTGCACCCCGCCGCGCAGCGGGAAGGCGATCATGTACCCGACGGGGATGCCGACGAGGTAGTAGCAGCCGAGGTTGACGTACGCCACCAGCCACTGCCAGCCGGCGCCGACGGCGACGCCCGACAGCACCGGCTGCACGCTGTTGAGCAGCAGCGAGAAGGCGAAGACGACGCCGAGGCTGGCCACGGCGCGCACCACCTCGGGGCTCTCCGTGAACGGCGCGCCGTACACGTCGCGGAAGGCCAGGATGAGGATGAAGAAGGCCAGCCCGATGGCCACCGACGACATGAGCACCACCAGGATCGCCAACTTGGCCGCGCGGGGACGCCCGGCACCCAACTCGTTCGACACCCGCACGCTGATGGCCGCGTTGAATCCGAAGAACACCATGATCTGCCACCCGAACAGGTTCGTGCTGTGATTCGTATATATGCAGTGCAGAAGCAACACGGCGACCGAGCAGGCGTTAGAACTGCAGCTGCAGAGCAACCATTTCATCTGAAACACGTAACTACTCACCAGATGGAGACTGCGGCAACGGCCACCTGAGCGTTCTCTAGGTTGCCGACGATGACGATCAGGAACATGTAGAACCAGAACTCCAGGCTACATACGTGAGAAGAAACGTGCGTGTCAGCAGTCAAAGGCTCGAAGCAATATCATCGTTTTAAAAAGAAAAGAAAAGAAGCAGGACAATAATCTTGTAGAGTAGTACGACGCACCAGAGCATGACGGCGGAGCCGAGGGAGAGGCGCGCGAAGCCGAAGAGGTCGGAGAAGGCGAGCCAGTCGAATCCGTTCCAGGCGCCGGGGCAGTAGCCCATGAGGATGTAGGCGAGCTGGCCCAGCACGACGAGCCACCAGGACGCGTTGAGCGCGACGGCGAGGCCGACGAGCCCCATCCGCATGGGCCCGACGAGGACCCAGCTGAGCGCGACGTGGAACACCAGCGCGACCGCCGACACGGCCGCCATGGCCATCACCTTGCTCTGCGCCTGCAGGAACTTCTGGATGGGGAAGTTGAAGGCGTAGGCGAAGAGCTGCGGGATCATGTAGAGCGCGAGGCGGCCCGCGAGGTCGGCGATCTCGGCGTCCTGGTGGAAGAGGCGCAGGATCGGGGTGGCGAAGAGGTAGAGCGGGAGCATGAGCACGGCCATGGCGTTGAGGATGATCCACGACCGCTGCAGGTACACGCCCAGCATGTGCAGCTGCTTCGCGCCGTACGCCTGCCCGCACAGCGTCTCCAGCGCGCTCCCCATCCCCAGCTGCGTCACCAACGCAACACGCGCAGCAGCCATGCATGCTCTTTTCAGGAGATTTGCATAGGAGAAAAATCTAATGACAAAATTTCATCTTTGCAAATTTCTTTGAACAGAGTCTTTTTTTACTATCCTTGTTGTAGCTGTGTGCCTGGCCTGCTCTAGGTTAGCAGTAGTGATCTTGTTTCGTTCACTTCACAAATATATTGCCTGAATGCAAGTATTTTTGACGGCATGTTGGCATTGATGAGGCACACCAACGATCGTGTCAGATGCCCATAGTGCCGGGTGACCATCGATCGATGTATCTCAACTCTGGAGTCGAAGGAGTGTGTGGTTTTGGCTTTTGGTAAGTCAGTCTGGAACTGGATGGATGGGTGGATCGAGCGAGGATCTGCAGCGGGTAGAAAGTATACAGACCGTGATGCCGAGGGCGAGGCCGGCGATGACGTTGTTCTCGGTGGAGAAGGCGTCGAGCTCGAGCGTGGTGAGGTGGCCGGCGAAGACGAGGGTGATGGCGCCGAGCGAGTACTGCGCGATGGACGTGAAGATGGCGGGGCCCGCCAGGTACCAGAGCTTCCGGTTCTCCGCCGCCGCGTGACGCAGGAACGACCCCACGCTCCGGATCTCCTCCAGGTCCTCCTCGCCCTTGCTGAAGCTCCCGTTCCCGTTGCCGTTGCCGGCAGCCAGCAACGACTCCCTCAGCATCTCGTCTCCTCCACCGCTCACCGCCATCGGTCTAGCTAGCTAGCTCCGGTGAGAAATCGAAAGATAATCTCTCTCTCTAGCTCGCTCGCTCTGTGGTGCTGTGCTCTCTACTAGAAACCTCGATGAGTAATGGAAGAAAGGAGGAGAGGAGGAGGCATAAATGGGCAGCTGGGAACTGGGATACTGGATCGTCCTATCGAGTTGGACCAATACTGTATAGGTGACCAGCTACTCCTACTATTGTACTACACGTCTATCACTATCAGTATGGTAACTCCAGGAGCGCATGTGCATTTTATATTAATGAAATATATATAATACTTCCCCCATTTTCCAAAGGGCCATATATTTATAAATATACGGAAACATACGAGATACATTAGATAAAGCATAAATATATTTCAGTAACACATTTATTTGATATTTTAGATGCTAATACGTTTTTCTATAAACATGGCAAATTATCCACGTTTGACTTAGAACAAAATTTTAAGCTAACAACACCCAAAATGTGTGTTTCTATGATATACCAGAAGAAAAATACAAGATTATGTCCCAAAAAAAGTCATAATCATGCAACTAAAAAAGTGTCCAAAGGGCCATCACCTTCTAGCATTGATGAGGAGTTGAAACCTGGGCTCCTGTGCACCACCACCGTTGGTTCCCCCTCCTCCCTGTGCGATAGCCTCGCTGTCGGTGAGGAGGAGCGGGCTCATGGGCTACCGGATGGAATCATCTTCGTCGATTTTCCTCGCTGGATCATGTTTCTTGAAGAGAATTCTAGTGTGAATGCCTATCTAGGCATCCAGCCGGGTGTTCTCATGGCGTTTTTGTTTTTGCAGGGTTAATGTGATTGGTGGGGATGATCATGTTCCTCGTTTGCATCTTTGTGTCACCAGATCGTTGGATTCTGACCTCGCGATGGCCAAAAAATTATCTAGACTTCCCGTTTTAGCATGGCTCCTACTAGTGGTGCTAGATTGATGGTTCCATTACCATCTTCGACGATGAGGTGGCCTATGCCGTTTCAAAGTGTTAGAAGTCTCATAGAAGGTTCCTGTGGCATTGGATCATGTGGTGTTTCCAAGGTTTAGAGTCTGTTGTTGTAGATGATTGGAGGGTGATGCTCCGACTGTGGTCATTGACATCGTTGAGTTTCAACATAGCATAACTTGGCAATCGCCAAAAACATGCATTGGAGGTGAAGAATGCCACTAGGAGGATCTAGATTTACTCTAGTATATCTTTCTTATTGTCTAGAGGCTTAGATGTAAATAGTAATGCAATTATTCTCTCGATTTAATAGAACCCCTTGCCATTCAAAAGAAAAACAACCAAGCAACTGAAAAGAAATCACACAAAAACAACTAAACTACATGAAACAACTTGACGAATCTAGCCGAAGAAGATGACCAAGCATCGAACTAGGTACCGCTAAGAGTGACCAACTGCCACTAGGCAATGAAGAAGCTACAAAATCTCCGCCCAAATGAACAATGCTCAGCCGCACACCGCTAGATACGTGGACTCCACGGACGCTGGTGTAAATTAGTAGTGCAAAGGAAGAGGGCGAGACAAAAAGAATATATTCGTCCCTTGTACGAACCCACCCCGAAGATGAGCAAAAGCACAAGTGCTACCATGACCGAGCCAACAACAAGGTAGATATAGGCCAAAGCGGACCTCGTAGAGCAACACCGCCAAAGAGGAAGCAATGCCAAAAAAATGCCTCCATCACCCAACTAAGAGACGATGAGCAAGGGTTTCATCCGTGGATTCACCAAGGAATGGTGGTGCATTAACAACATCCTCAAAAGCGAGACTGGCATTCAAAATGTGTCACCGTTGTCAACATGGCTCTAAGCAGGCTATGGCTTTTGCAAGAATTAGTCCGAGGCCACCACCACACAACCAAAGACAGCACACAGTCTCCACACTAGCTAGTACTGTCATGAAAAATGCGGCCATCATAGCTAGACAGTCGTCGCCTTCTTTGTCGACGTCGCGAGGCCATGCAGCCTCCACATCCCGCCGGCCTCGATGTTTGACGCTCAAACGTAGCCCATGTGGCTCCACCTTCGCCAAAGTGCGAGAGTAGTGCTACCCTCACGTGAGTCCATCGGTGGTCAGCACCAAGCATGGGGGCTCCTCGTGTTTTTTCATTAATACAGTACCAACAATGATTATATTTAAAAAACAACTTATAATTTAAAATGGAGAGAATACTATTTGTATAGACCGTTTTATATCACCAAAGGACAGGAGAAATGAGTGTTGTTTAAGGAAAGTGCAGCAGGAATGAGCACGCGATCTCTCAATCCTTTGTCTGTTGCGAATTTGGGTACAACAAGCCTACTTACACACTTAGACTGTCTCCAATAGATGACTCATATGGGCACCTAAACTCAAAATGGGTAGCAGGAGACCTAAAACCAGCCCCCAACAGAGTACCAATACGGGAGACTCATTTTAGGTTACCTGAGAGGCATAACCCAAATATGGGTATCTTCTCTCCTAGAAACCCATTTGTAGAAATGATTCTCTTTTGAGTTCTGTTGTTAGAGAAGATGTCGAATGAGTATCGAACCTTTTGGCTGTAGCGCTACCCAAACGTTAAATGAGTCTTGTATTTTGGGTATTGTTGTTGGAGATAATCTTATGACCCCTTTGAAAAGCATAAATGTTACATGAATAATGCTAGAATTACATATGAATCAATTTATTTTTATAGGAAAATGTAATATTCAGAAGGAAAAAAAAAAGATGCTACGTTCCAAAGGATATGGACAGTTTGGCAATTTGCTGATAAAACTGTGTGTGTATCGCTCTCGTTTGAGACAGTGAGATGTGAGATGACGCCGCTCGGCGTCGACCGATCTCACTTCTCACCTGTGGGGATTATCTTTCCCGTTTTATAACCTACCACTAGTACATCATAAGATCGGTACACCTATGATGTAAACGTTACGTGTTCAATATAACGCGCGGTACATGTGTCGTGCCTGCACGCTCCGCCGCCAGCTAGCTCCTTTGCGCTGGAACAAGTTAACAATTGCAAGTTGGTAGTGGTTATTTATTCAGGAATCAGGGCACGATCACACGATCCTCGTGCGCCGGTAAAAAACACAAGGTCAAATTCTCAAAAAGGAAAAAATGAAAAAAGAAGAAGGTCAAGGCCATGCAGGCCCCGCTCGTGTCCGGCACCATGATATATGATGCACATCATATCCACCCTTATAGTTCAGTCTCAGACTCAGCAACTGTATCCATTATTATATTATACTCCTTCCGTCCTGGAAATAATGCAACTCTAACAGAGTGTGTATCTTAGGTTCAATTATAGATAAAAAAAAATACCAATATTTATGTTATCAAATAAATACTACTAGATTAATTACAAAATATATTTTTGTAATAAATTGATTTGAAGCCATAAATGTGAATATCATTCACTAAAAACTTGATCAAACGTGAACCACATTTATTGGCACGCAACCCATAGTTACATTTTTTTTAGGCGGAGAGAGTAATGTTTTCTGAGTTTCTACCGGTGGCAGAGGGAGGGGGCAACGGGTCCCAAATGTTAATTTTGAGTTGTTCTAAGATTTGAAATTTCAAAATTTAGAATTTTTAGGGATGGCCTTGAATTTTAACATGGTGTATATTAAAGTTGCAGTACTCAATGCGATATACAATTTTTGACAAGCTTATTTTTTTCATTTGGAATCATTTATAGTCCATAAGTTATCGAATATCGAGATTTACATTTAAAAAAAATCAAACTCTAATAGAGAGCTATGCTCTATACCGAAATTTTCATTTAAAATTACTTAGGGGCTTAAATATTCAATGTAAGATTTTTAAAAGTAATAAAAAGGATACCATTATTGTTGTTAGTTAAAAATTAAAGTGTAGTTCTATAATAGAGAGGAGAGGCACGAGGTAAGAGTTTACGGGAGTAGCCATGCTTCCCCACGATCGAAATTGAAACCAAGGGATATTTTTACCTAGTTTTTTTTTTCCCGATCCCCTGAAATGAACCTCAAGAAAAAGTACTGTTTACACTATACTACTCAAACTAGGTAGACTACCGGCCGTGGTCTACTGGTTGTTGGCCTCTCCATTTCTACCTATCATTCGTAGATCACGTTACATTTAACTATTGACGGATGGAACAATCGATGCCTCTTTGATCCGGTCGTCAGTTACTCAGTTTTATTTATGTGCTCTTGCTGTCCACAATAGCCACGATCGACCAATCGCCTATGCCGATTATACATTTGGAATTGGTACGGCCCCGCTGGTCTAAAGTTTAGCTTGTTCGGCTTTTTTTTTAGTCGAAACAATATTTTTCTCTCACAATATTTCAGCAGAACAGTGTTTTTCAGCCATGTTTTAGACCAGCGAACGGGGCCAGTCGGGTTCAAGCTTAAACTATTCTCACCATTTTTTTTTGTCTCCACTCAAATCTTCTCCTTATCTTCAACTTCGGCGCACACACCTGGCATCAGTAAGAGCAAGGCTAAGGGTACCCGCAACAGTAAGAGTCAGTTGTTAGCTTTAAGCTAACCTCTCTAATAGTGTTAGTTTTTAGCAATGGCTCTTAGTATAATTAAGCTCACATGATACTCTCACATATTTTTGGAATATGTGTATGAGCCTAAAGAGCTAGCTTCTCTCTCTTCTATTAAAATATACGGCATGTTCGCTGGTTGGTTTCTGGGCTGGTTTGGGCTGGCTGGTGCTGGTTTATTGTGAGAGGAAAACACTGTTGGCTGGCTGGTTTGGGCTGGCTGAAACCAACAAGCGAACAGACTGATAAAAGAAATGTTTAGATCTAGCTTATGAACCAACCATTGCGGGTGCCCTAATAATACAGCCAGCAAGCCGGCTATAAGGATCTTTGTAGCCTTCTCTCAGCCCATCTATATAGTAGTTATTTATTCATTATTAATACATAGTCCACTTATCTCTCTCATAAAGTTTCTCAGTTCTTATGTCTAAGTCGGCTGTAAATTTACAGCCCA